TGGAATGTCAACATCTTGATTATGTCATTATTTTCTCTTCTCAAGCCCAGTAGCTGTTATCACTCTTTCCACTATTGATGGAGGTTTCCTACCTAACCTTTTATTTGAAGTAGTGTGGAATGTCAACATCTTGATTATGTCATTATTTTCTCTTCTCAAGCCCAGTAGCTGTTATCACTCTTTCCACTATTGATGGAGGTTTCCTACCTAACCTTTTATTTGAAGTAGTGTGGAATGTCAACATCTTGATTATGTCATTATTTTCTGTTCAAGTTACATTTACTATTCATTTTAGTTCTTGCTGCTGTTGGTAATTCTCAAATGATTCTGTAGCACCAGTCTATGAGGTTCAAAGAAGGCTGGTCCTCCCTAACTCCTACTACATTTCTTAACCATTTAGGAAGCAATCATATGCAGCTGACAGTTTAGATATTTCTGAATGGCTTTGGCATGATGCCCATATGAAAGTCTCTATTTGATGAGGCTATTTAAGAACATGACTTGAGTTTTAAAGCATTCCTTAATTCCTGAAGTAAACGATTCTCTTGTAATCATTTCTGGTGGTTTGGTGCTGAATGCTGAGTTTTTTCTTATTTTTTTAAATCATTTCACCCCAAGCAAGATGGGAATGCCACTAGTATGCAAGGAGTTACAGAGAGTGAAAGTGAGAGAAAAGTCTGAGTAGAAGGGGGGTTTGAGGAAAGGATAAAAGATGAATGGGGTTCAAGACAACAGAAGATGGCGGTTGACATTACATTTAAATTTTTGAAGATTGTAGTTTTCAGGGAAGCAAGTAAACTGAATGGAGTTCCACTGTTGGGAAGTGCGAGAAAAACTGTTGGAGTAGAATTGGAGGTTACATTTAACAATTTCACCAGTAAAAGGGTGGGACCTAGATGTCAATCTAGTAGCACACTTAAATTCACATAGTTGGAGCACCAGGAAAAAAAGCTTATCAGGGCAGTTGCCATGTTAAATATTTATAGAAAAGACAGAGGGAAGCCACATCACATCTGTGAGAAAGTGACTGTAGTTGAGATGTCAAGTCAGAGTCGATTACATTGCAGATCCTTCTTTGGATTTTGTCAAGAACCTTGAAATGAATAGCAGAAGCACCAGACCAGATATGGCACCAGTTTTCAATGCACGGAGGAATGGTAGATTTGTAAATGTTCAAGATGGACTCTGATAAGAAAAACCTTCTGGCACGACACAATGAACCAATTTTCCTTGCAGTAGATGCAGCTATTGATTCAATGTAGTTGTTCCACTTCAAGTCCATTAAAAATGTGTGACCAAGAAGGTGCAGTAAGATGCTCTCAAGGAGTCAAGCATCAACCATGCTGATGGCGGGTGGGGAAGTTTCTTTCTGGTGGTTAAATGAAAGCAGTTTAGTTTCCTTGCCCCAGTTAACTACTGATTGGAAGTTCAAGAGCAGCAGCCAAGTTAATTTTGTCAGCTCTGATTTGCTATTGAGACAGTAGGAAATGGTAGTGTCATCTGCATAAATGTCTACTTGGGAACTGATGATATTGGGAAGATCATTGATGAAGATCAGAAACCACATAGGACCCAGCATAGAGACCTGAGGGGTGGGGAGACACCTGTGTTCATGTGAAAGGATCTGGAAGACCAGATGCCAAACCCTGTCAAACACCTAGATCTAGAGCCACTGCTTGAGCTTCGCTGTTATTAAAAAGAGCTTTATATACATATTCAGTGATGGCCATAAACATGTCACCAGTATACAGGACAAAACAGAATCCATATTATTTGTCAGAGTAGGCCATGAGAGGTAAGATGCTTAACCACTTCAGCATTGATTAAAGCCTCGAATACTTTGCCAAAAAGTGTTAGGAGACTAGGGTGATAGAGGGGTCAGAAGGTTCTTCTGAGTTCACAGGAACTACAAAGGAGGACTTTCAACAAGTTGAAAAGCAGGAAGCAGCTATGCAATAGTTGTAGAGTTTGGAGGGAAATGGAGCCACCTTGGAAGCACATTATTTTAGGACGACGGCTGGGATCCTGTCACCACCACTTGCCTCAAATTTAGAAATGATGTCCAAGACCAGTGATAGGGTTATGTGAATATCACTCAGTAGAGCCTGTGTTTTCATAGGGAAAACAGGTGTGGGTACTCCAAATGAGTCAAATGTTGAGTTGTAAGAGAATTTCCAAGCAAAGCATTCAACCTTATCTGCTGTAGATGTTAGGACTTTGAATTGCTTGAATAAAGGAGAGATTGAGGATTTGATATCGCTCAGCACACTCTTGCAAAGCCATCAATAATCTCTAGAATCGAACTTGTGAGATGCTTTACATTATTTGATTCTATCAGCAAACAGTAACTTCACTTCATTGAGGGCACGCTAAAAATGAATGAGTGCTGAGTGAATGTTGTTTTGGAAAGTTTATGTTCTTTTCTTTTTTATGAATACAAATTGTATCCTTCTTGTGAGACAAAGTTTTTAGCTTATGATATGTTGGAAGAGAGTGAGAAAAAGATCTCTCCTTCTTTGTAGTAGGCAGTTGTCCTGATTAGTTCTTTGGTGATTAGTGGAATGAACCAGTTTGTCCAGCTTTCTGGCAAAAAGAGAGGTGACTGACTGACATGGAAGCCATTCTTTTTTTTTTCCCTGGGTTTATATTGTGGTTGGGGAGTGCAGTGAGTGTGAGTAGGATTGTCCTTTGCTTCAGTACTGGATATTTGATCTTTTGTCTCACTTATCCAAGTATCTGGTTACAGAAACAAAATTAGCTGATTGACTTGTCCTTAAGAATGTTGTTGTTATGATTAATGAGGTGCTATGGAGATAAATAGATGATACTTTTCAGGAGATTTAAGAAATATTTTTATTTATTCACCTACTACTACACATTCATTGGCAGTATTACTGATTTTGTACACGTTAATGATACCCATTTAGACAAACAACTAAAAAAGGAATATTGAAAGGCTGGGGCTGCTAAAATGTTAGAAAAATATGTTGAAAATGCAAACAAGATGCCATCTCCTAATGGGACCTAGATGACGAGCATGCTGAAAGAAGCTCACTCACATGAATATGTCAGCATCAATGTGAATGCTGCTTTCAAATCAGTCTATCAAACAATTTAAAGAATTACATGATATTCAATAGAATTGTTTGTTTTGTCAGCCCATCAATGAGGAGATTTGTAGGTAGTCAGCCACATTTTTCTCAAAGATTAAAATTATTGAAAAAGGAAATTTATCCTAGTAATGTACACTATTTACATTATTTGGACTATCGTCCTCATCTTTGCTGCCATATTTATTACATTTTGGCTGTTGTATGCTCCGGCCTTCTTCAGGTGGTTGGAATGCCGAACTGAACCCTTTATTTTGCTCACTGGGGTAGACTGTTCTAGTTCCACATGCCACGTTTAATGGATGTCAGTTATCTCCTGTTAATTCCCCTTTTCCAAGTTCTTCACTTCCTTAAGTGGGTATTGAACTCATACTCTTTGGGCCCTGTCACTGGATCTAACTAATGCCTTTATCCACTGTGCTATGTGTCCTTGACATTCCAACCACCTGAAGAAGGCCGGAGCGTACAACGGCCGAAACATTGTGATAAATATGGCAACAAAGATGAGGACAATAGTCTGAATAATGTAAATAGTGTACATAATACCTCATCTCAGAAATATAGACAGATCCTAGTAATGCCTGTGAAAATTTCTATTAAAGTTTTCTATTTGAATTTTTTGATGAACTTTAATTGAATAAGCTCCTTACAAGTTCCACAACTTTTAAATACCTGTGGAAATTCCTCTGTTGTGGTGTTAAATAGCAGCTTTTCACAAAATGTTGCAATAACAATCATAAGTATGAATGCAGATGATTATTTAAAGAAGTAAGTGGGTACAAATGAAGAGATTTGAAAGTGACAAGGTTTTCCATTTCAATGAAGCAGAAATTAAATGCATAAGAGCATTATTACCTCTTCTATGATACCTTTCTTTTTCTTACTTAAACTAAACAGCATCTCTCGTATATCTTCTTCCATCTTTCCTCTCAATCAAAATGGAATGGTCGATTATTTAACTGTGGTAATGGCAGGGAATAACAGACATGATAAAGAACTAAGGAAAAAACTAGGAGTATTATAATATCATCTTAAAAATGTTCATAAACTGGTATAGTTATAAATATTGAAATGAGACAAAAAAAATACTGTCCGTTTTTTTGTCAATCCAAATATCAAATAGTTTTTATTTAATTATCTCTGTGTGCATGTTTTGATAAAGTTCTCTTCTTTTGTGTATGTCAAGGTTTACAATCTGGGCAGTACTGCCCACCAGTGGGTGATTTCAACTGTTGGGTGGGTGATGCAAAACTGAACAGAAAATGGTGGGTAATAGGAAATTTTGGCAGGTGATATAGGATTTTGAGTATTAAAAAGGTATTTCAACATATGCTGCCTGAAAAACAATATTCAAAAGTGATATGCAAAAAATTGAATTAAAAAAAAAAACAACACCAAAAAAAGCAGGAGTCTAAACAGGAATAACTGCGTCACATTCCTTGATAAGATATAAATGTCCACAAGGAATATTTTGGTTATTTCCTATAATTTTGAGAGGGTCATTAACATTCAAATAGCTCTTCAGTATTAGACATAAAAAAAATATTGCTGAATTAGAACCATTTCTGTTTTCAACCCTGGTAGGTGGAGGGAACTAGTGAAGTACTCACCTGTGCATCAACCCTAACCACGCCCAGTCCTATGACTGATGATGATTTTATTTATCATGCTGATTTATTTATTTGGCTAACAATATACTTTGAAATACTTTGAATTAATTAGTAAGACTTCTATCACTAAATCATTAACTCTCCTACCCTAAAAAGAAACTCTTAAAATATAAAAATATTTTCTGGCTTTAAATAACCTCCAAAAGTTTGATAAGACATTAAAAAAAAAACAAATCACTCAATCAGTCATATTTATTTTTTATTTATTTTCTTTTTGCAGGGCAAGTTGGTGACTGGAAAAATCACATTACTGCATTTATAAGTCGAAGGATTGAAAAAATGGTTCAGGATAGTTTAAGTGACACTGATTTAGTATTTGACTATGAATTAGCCACTAAACTTGAAGACAACCAAGAACATGTCTGAAATTACAATAAAATAATTTGCCTCAAATTTGTAGAAAGATTTTTTTTTCTTTTACATCTGTTACCCCTCAACACACACACACACACACACACACACACTTAATTTAATTTTATGAAATTTCAAGAAATTAAATTTTCACCATTTAATATGCATATTCATTAAAAGAACAAATCCTTAGAGAATAATTCATTGATTTTTTTTTTTTTGATTTTTTTTAAAATCAGAAACACCAGTTACCAAAAATCTCGAAATTGTAAAATAAAAAATGCAATAAAACTAAGATATTGTTTAATTAGAAAAGATTTTTATTGATTTTATATTTTAAGGACATTTTTGTCTTAAAAAATTATTTTGATGAATAATGAATTTTTACAAGAATTGTTTTCATCTTTTTTTTTTTAAATTTTAATTAGAATAATTTATAAAGTTTCAAATCTTTTAAATTTCTGTATAACTTTGACCCCATTAGGCAATATTGTTATTAAGTAAAAACTAGATTTACTAATCATAAATTGAAAAGCTTAGTACAAATCAAACACCAATATTTTTTAAAGAATTTTGAATTTTTGGTATGTGTATAAACATGCCCATTTCATAGATACAGATGTTCATATATGACATTATCAGAAAATAAGTGTGATAATTATAGTAAATTTAAAGCTAAAATATCTAATAATTCAATAAAACATTAGATTATGAAGAATATTTTCCTAATTTTTTAATATTACTGAGTACTTAAAAAAATCATATAAAATGGTGGTCACATTATATTCTTCAATTATTTTTTACAGATATAGCCACCATAGAAAAACATTAGATAAAATTCCATTTGTCATCAAACTGTCAACACTTTAGATAAATAGCTACTGCAGTGTTTTTTAAACAAAGTAAATAATATTTCTTTCAAATCAGATTAATTATACTTTAAATTAGCTAAGAGTCATCAAATAAAATTTCAGAAAAGTATATTTTGTTTTTGGAAGATTTTTTAATGAAGAAAAAATTATATTACAATGAATGAGGGCTAAAAATTGTGTTGAAATCAGTTTTTTTTTTTTTTAACAAAAGAAAAACTCATTCTAATCAATTTAAATTTAAAGTATTTTGCTTATTGGAAATATTAAATTTAATCTAACTTGAAATTAAGACTAAAATAAAAGCTTCAAGAAATATTTTGTCATTTTTGAAAATTATTTTAAACCTTAGCTATTGCAAATCTGTGGAAGTACCTACCTGCCTACCTACGTTTATGTATGTTTAGAATTTGCTTAGTCAGCTCTAGCTAGTTATATATTGGCATGGCAGTCTACACGAGGCTTTTACAAATCGTAAATGGTGAACTAATCATGCAGAGCATCATGGCCTTTTTGATGATCTGAGTGAGTTGAATATTCGTCACTCACCCTGATCTTACTGCATTGCCTTCGGTTGGGTTGTCAGATGTGCTAGAGTCAGATGCAAAAATCAACATCTTTGGAGTGAGTAGGCACGTGAAGGCTCCACCAGTCTCCCACCCTCTGATGATGTGGCACTGTTTGGAGTCTGGCTAAAGCAATCTGTCGCTCTCCAATGATTTTTCACTGGTGCCCTTGAACCAAGATGCGAGCACGTCGTTCACGTGGCAAGGCATGTCGTCAATGTTCACTGACTGTGGGCTGATAATTCCAGTGACACAGCCCATTCTGAATTTCGATGTGCACCAGCTGCATGTTTTTTCTTTTTTTATCCAACCAGTGTCCACCACTCTGTACTGGCCTGTCATCTCTTCAGGTTCAGTTGGAAATGCAGTTTCAGTTGGACTTGCTATAAATAGATCAGGTTGACTGGTGCAGACAAGGCTAACATGTTGTCTTTGAATTTTTTGTTCTTTTTTAAAGCATTTCACCCCAAGCAAGGCAGAATGTCACTAGCATGCAAGGGGTTACAGAGAGTTTGAGCAAGAGTAAAGAGGTGTGATAGAGGAAAGGATGAAGAGAAGGTCAGGGAATAGATCAAGACATCTGGAGATGTCGATTGACTTTACATTTGAATAGTTGGAGATTATAGCTATCAATGAAACAAGTACTAGGTAGAGAATACCACAGATGGGAGGTGCGAGACATGAAGCTATTTGAGTAGAAGAGACGGCTACATTTAACTGTTTTGACAGTGAAAGGGTTGGACTGAGATGCCAGCCTAGTTGCATGTTTAAATTCATGCAGTCTGGGAACTAGCAAAAGTAGCTCGTCTGAGCAGTTACCATGAAAGTATTTGTAGAAAAGACAGAGGGAGGCAACAGCATGTCTGTGAGAGAGCCAGATCAGGACCAACCACATTGCATATCCATCTCTGGATCTTGTCGAGGACCTTGATGTGAACAGTGGGGGCACCAGACCATATATGGCAGCAATATTCCTTGCAAGGGCGAATGATTGAGTTATAGATTTGAAGGATGGACTCGGGCGAGAAAAATTTTCTGGCGCGACACAGGGAACCAGCTTTCCATGACGGGGCATTGCTTTCATGCTCTGATTCACTCCACAGGTCAGTGGCATCTTTATTGTGCCCTGTCAGTGCAGGCATATATGCATATAGCAATTGCTTCTGGATGCCCCATTCATCTCACAACTGTTTGCCAGTTGCAGAATGCTGTCTCATTATTGATGAGGAGCTCAACTGGAGAGGCCATGTTTATAGAACACTTGTTCGATGATATATATTGTGAGGAACCAATCAATGTTAAAAAAAAATAATGTGAGTAATATCCATGCCTAACTTTCTCTACATACCATTCATGAGTAGTCTCCCTTGCTGCTAACATTTGATACAAAAAGGTTGATTCTTTGCACCAAATAAAGCATGCTCTTAATTCTGGGGTACCCAGATCACTGATAAATGTCAGTCATTTGTGTAGAACTCGGAACTTCTTTGGCAGTACCCTACACGGGCTTGATATCCTTCTCCACAGCATTGAGCCATCTTTGTGAAACTCTGGTTAGCTGACCTGTTTCATTCTAGTCAGACCTCACTAGAGCTTAGGTCAACTGAATGATTGTTCTCCTTTATTTGTGAGGTCAGTGTGTCCAGTTGCCTCCTTATGAGCATTTCACTTGCGGCCTTGGTATTCAACCGAACCTTGTCTGTAAGAGCATTGATTACCCAGTGATACATGCTGAGGGAGTTCATGTTTACATGTATTACTCTTGATTGCTACTTTAAGGCATCAAACTTCTCCGCATTAATATACTGTGTGTCTTTTATTGGTAGCAGCCAGCATGCATCTTCAGTGATAGCTCCATTCATGTCACAGCCCATAAACTTGCATCCAGCCACACCTCCTGTTATTTCTTGTCCACACACTACTCTCTTTGGGCAGGGTCTTGTTGCTGCACCCTGGCAATGGTGTCCATCACTCTTTGTTTCAGGGGAGCATCATCAATTTCTTCATCCCAACCCTGCATAATGGCAGTGGCTTAGTGTTTAATGAATCCTGTCACCATATGAAGCCACCCACACACAAGTGCCTGACAAGTTTGCCTCACATACAAAAGACATTTCTCTGTGACCTAGTTGGAGGGCTCTTTACTATATCGATTTCTCACTGCCATGTCAGTTTACCTTGCTCTATCCAGATTCTAGTTCCAACACTCTGTATCATTTTGCAGCCTCTCTGGGTCCTTACTTATCAGTTTGTACCTCTCCAGATGCTTTTGCACAGTTTCCACTGAAGTCACATCCTTATTAACATATATATTGTTGATATATGCCAATGTGACTATTATTCTTTTGTCCTCTGCCAATTTCCTCAAGCCTGGATCTCGTTATCAGTGGTGTTACATTCAGGCTAAATCCCTTGAACTTGACTGTCTGGTACAGTCATCGATTTTCCAATGTGAACTTGCAGATCTGCATTCCTGAGGTTCAGGATGGATATGTTACTACCTGGTATCTCTAGACCCACAGATTCTCCGTGCAAACATGCACTAGCTGTCAATGCATCAATGTACGTGTTCCATTCCCAATAATCCATTACAGCATATGGCTTGCATTGCAACCATCAGAGATATCAGCTCTTTGGATGGGTCAAATTCCTAATTGGCATGAGGCAGCAGTTGTCTAGTGTCAAATGGTTGGGTCTATTACATATATAGCAGGTAACACTCACAGATGACCCCCATGCTGGGGGAAGTCTGATTACTCTGGGTGGGTTATGCAACAGCTATGTCCAGTTCTTCCACTGCCAACTCGTCATTCACAATCGCCCAGGCTTCAATTCAAATCCACCAAATAAATGTCAGCAGCTATATCTGGCTGCAACTTACACATTTCAAATTACTCATTTGAAGTTGTCAGCAGCAAAAACGAATGAATAAAGCATCCTTGATTTGGTATGTGATGGATTTTCCTCCTTGGTTAATTTTTTGGTAAAAAAAAAGGTCAATTGAAGAGGAATGACATCCCTCTTAACCCCACAAAGGTCACCTTATCAGTTTCACTTTCTTTATCCATTCCACCATGGAACCAGAGCCATGAAACTCAGGAATCAGCTTGCGGCCAAACATGCAGCAAACCTTTATTTCTTCTTCTCTGGTGAGACATTGAAACACAACAAGTCCAAGTCCTTTGTTCTTCTGTAGCTACCTCGACACCAGTCAGAAGTCCTTTTGCCCACCAACAAATTTATAGTCTTTATATATGTTTAGAATTTGCATGGCTGTCTCTCGTTAGTTATATTGTGTGCCTTTTTCAAATTGCAAATAGCAGATTAGTGAGTCTTCATGTCCAATTGCCTGGGTAGAATAATGGTTAAATTCAATCTATTGTTTCATGTGACTGATTTTTAAGTAGGCACTCAACATTCAGAAAAATGGTACAGCGTAATCTTCTTTTTTACATTTGGTGTGATGTTAGATTAAGGTAAGCAAATATGAATGAACTATTGTACTTGTGTTG